CTTTCTATGTTCTTTCCAGCCCAAAGCCACTGTTGCTTGGGCAGCGAGGAGTGATATATCTAGATATCTGTTGTGATACTAACTTTTATTAATGGACCAATGTTCCCCCCACATGGTGTATAGATCAGGGCAGGCTTTGAAAACCTTTAGATCCCTTCTGCAGGTAAAGATGTTTGGTTATGCCATGCGCATTTCTTCATGCATGACAAGGAAAAGTGTGCAGAGGGCAGAATTGCGGTTTTCCATTGATACTGGGAGGAGAAATGTTAATGTTTGGGTAGGGTAGGACCCTGTAAAAGTGATTTTGGTTGTTTTTTTTTTAAAGGCTAGGCTGTGAAGCTAATGTGAGCTATTTTGGGATAGGAGTAGGAATCATACAGCTGTCTTTGGTTGAATTGAATCTCCCAATAACCTTGACCAGGATAGCTAATAGTGTGGAATGATGGGAGATACAATCAGACAACATCTCGAGAGCAACGTAATTCCGTTGTTGTTGTTGTTGTGTGCTTTTAAGTCATTTTTCACTTACATTGACTGTAAGGAGAACTTGTCACAGAGTTTTCTTGGCAATATTTGTTCACAGGGGGGATTGCTTTTCCCTTCTTTTGAGGCTGAGAGAGTGACATTCCTAGGGGCGGTAGGTTTCCATGACTGAGCAGGGCTTTAGATACTGGTCTCTAGAGTCAGCCAAAACTGAAATTACATATTATGCTATGTTGACCTTCTCCTCCTAGGTCCTCCTTTGTTGTTCATTGCCATCAAGCTGACTTGGATTTATGGCAGCCCTATGAATGAGAGAGCTCCAAGGCCCCTTCTACACTGCCATATAAAATCCAGATATTTTTTTTTTTTGTTGTGTCAGGAGCATCGTGTTGTGAGAAAATTGGCCGTCTGCAAGGACGTTGCCCAGGGGACGCCCGGATGATTTTGATGTTTTATCATCCTTGTGGGAGACTTCTCTCATATCCCCGCATGAGGAGCTGAAGCTGATAGAGGGAGCTCATCCGCCTCTCCCCGGATTTGAACCTGCGACCTGTCGGTCTTCAGTCCTGCCGGCACAGGGCTTTAACCCACTGCGCCACCAGAGGCTCCTCAATCCAGATTATCTGCAGTGAACTGGATTATACTACTGTGTAGATACATATAATCCAGGTCAAAGCAGATAATGTGGATTATCTGCTTTGATAATCTGAATTATATGGCAGTGTAGAGGGCCCCAAGTCACCCAGATTTACGGTCATGGCTTCCTTGACTCAGTCTGTTCATATGTGATGTGGTCCTGCCCCTGATATAGGAGAAATCCTGGCAGAAGAAGAACATGTGTGTTTACTTAAGGGTATCTTTGCTTTGTGCTGGGTTTGGGGGGGGGGGGGCATTTATTTTCTTATTTAGCTCAGCCTCATCTGCAGTCCCTATAGCTGGGGTTAGTAAGGAGTTGTCCCTGTATGATAAGCCAATGTATGCAAATCTGGAGCACATTATATTTTAAGGCATCTTGAGTTTAGCAATGTGTGGTGCAAAGATGCTCTTGCAGATTTGGCTGTGAACGCACCCTGGTGTGAAATCAGTTGTTGTTGCATGCCTCCATGTTATTTCTGGCCTATGCTGCCATGCTTAATTTTTAGGAGGGATGTTTAAGTTGAACTGTGTTCTTGGTAGGGCGAGCAAAAAAAAAAATGTTAGAAAAGCTATTTTCATTAAGTTGGCACCAAAGTTAGTCATGGGTTCTCAATTTTAGGATGAAGAAGGTGTTCTTGCCTCCTGTTAGGTATTTTCCTAAGGGTTTTAATACATTTCTCTCGGTTCCTTCAGTTCTCTGCCCTTAAATATTCAGGATTTTGGTCATGTGAGTCTTAGTCCCATTGTTTGGTCTTTTTTAGCTCTTATTTATTCTGAGTTTGGTTTCTTGCCCCCTGCCCTCCCTCCCCCTGAATTGACTAACAGTCCTGGGACCTTTTTTCACATTATTTATTTATTTATTTATTTATTTACTTTATTTGTATACCGCTCTTCTCAGCCCTTAGGCGACTCAGAGCGGTTTACAACAATTTAGGTATACACAATACAAAATCATTAAGCATTTAAAAGCAATAGCATCACAAATCATTAAACATCAATATCAATACATCACTACATCAATATAACAAATCCATCAGGTCTCATCAATGAAATCAGAATCCAAACCCGTTATCCGATATTCCGTGTTCCGATAGTCAGTCAATCAATCACACTGCTTAGTCGAATGCCTGTTCAAACCAACCAAAGAATCCAAACGCTCCCTCCCGGTGCCTCAACACATGTGCTATCTTCAATACCTGGTGGTTTTAGGCATTGATTAATATTTAAATATTGCCAAAACGGGCTTGGATGGACCAAAATTCTTATTTGCATAATGGTTTAAATCCTGGATTAGAAGCTTGCCATCTTTACCTGGTTATTATTATTATAACTTTATTTGTACCCCGCTAGCATCTCCCAAGGGATTCGATGCGGCTTACAACAGGCCGGAGCCCAACACAATACAACAATACAATACATAGCAAATAAAACAGTTAAAGCAGAAAACAATAGCAATAGCAATACAACAGGACAACAGGACATTATTAAAAACTGAGCCGGCCGGAGTAGGGTACAGGATTAAAAAGTGCTGAAGTGTCGGAGGGATATGGGATTAAATATAAGTGCAGTGTGTGGTGAGGGTGATCTTGACTCTACTAAAGTGCTTCTGGGCTTTAGTAGTGGGGTTCCTAATCTGAGAAGGCACGTTGGAACAGCCAGGTTTTCAGGTTCTTTCTGAAAACCGCCAAAGTAGGGGCCTGTCTGAGATCTTTCGGGAGGGCATTCCAGAGGCGGGGGGCCACCACAGAGAAGGCCCTGTCCCGCGTCCCCACCAAACGCGCCTGCGACGCGGGCGGGATCACAAGCAGGGCCTCTCCTGATGACCGGAGTGAACGTGTGGGTTCGTAGACTGTGATGCGGTCACGCAGGTAGGGTGGTCCCAAACCGTTCAGGGCTTTGTAGGTAAGCACCTGCACCTTAAATTGAATATAACTGCAACATCTTTCAGTTGCTAAACTTATAACTGTTCTCCAAGATGCATCTGAAATGTGTGAAGGCTAAATGCTGTTACTTGCTGTTGCTAGATGAGTCACATGTGTTTCCTATTTTCCATTTTTATCCTACTTTTCAAGTCATGATGGGCCCACAGTACATAAAAATAAAACATGTCTATGTTTTAGAATGATCCACGCAGTGAGGGAATGAGAACCTAGCCACCTTGAGCGCTCTTCATGGTTGCAATTAGCTTTCAGGCAGATTGCGGGTTCATCTGTGTTATTGGACATTTCCTGAGAAAGGAGGAAGACAGCCAGTCTTTGAAGGGAATAAGTCCCAAGTCTTGGATTGATGGCAGCAGCAAAGCACCTGGCAAATTGAACTGATGGGAATATGGGGGAACCTGTGACTGCAATCCAGAGAGTTCTTTAAGGAGCCCTGGTGTATTGGCAATCAGAATGGCTACTTCATGGATGACAGCCCTCTCTTCTGTCATGAGTGGGCAACCAGCATACCACTGTTCCCATTATTTCTGGTCCTTTGCTGTCCTGACTTGGAATGATGGAAAGTAGAGTCCACCAACATACCTGCACTCAAGCCTCACTTGGTAGCTTGGTGTAAATTGTTTGGCCCAATGGCTGTTGCATATCATTACCCTTATGTTCTAGTTTGGGATTTTGTAGATATATGAGGTACTAACCTCTGCCCCTTATTGGTGCAATTCATTGCTCATGCTCAATTCATTACTCATGGTTAAAAAGGGTAATTTTTTTTTTGGTCAACTATTAGGCATTGAAATTTTTATCTTGGAATCACTTTGCTTGGGAAAAAAATGCCAGGCCTATTTTTTAAATTTCGAGTTCTAGCAGAGCCATGGGAATGGATGCTTAATTAATTTTTGGGAAGCAGACCTTTGGAAGGGACAGTCTTCATTCCACATAGTAACAGAGTACAGTTGGTGAGGACAAGTCAGGATTTTCCTGGTAATTTTCTCTTGGTTTGTTTTATCTTCATGTTTCCTTTCCTCTTCCCAGCTCCTTTCTTTGTTTTCTAGTTGGTATGTTTGTTATATCTGGATATGTAGAGCAAAAGTAGTGCCTGTGGATCTAGTGAAGAAAGGTGTGGAGTGGTGGTCTTTGGTGAGTTTCACCTGGGAAGCAGCAATATTAGGCTCATTTAGTAACAAGCCCCTTGAGACCCTTTCAAACTACACAGATGTAATCTTATGATTCTGGAAAAAATAAAGCTGTGACAAAATTATTTTTTATTATTTCTGAATGTTTTCATGTTATGTTGACAATGTGAATATTTGACAATTGTCTGGATTAGTTGTTTGTGTGGCCAGGATATTCTTTCAGTCATCAGTGTTGGAATAAAGTGTATATGTGTACATTTGTGTCTTCAATCACCTGTTGACATATGGTGATGCCATGCATTTCATGGGTTTTTTTTAAAGCAAGAAATCCTCGGATATGTGGTTTTGCCACTTCCTCTAATATCTCTTTCTAATTCCTCAGTTCCAAGTAAATCAATTTTCAGGTTGGAAGTTCGTGAAAGTCTATATGATTGTTTTAAAGTGATTAAAATAGAGATGAAATATAAAATTCTTCAATAGTCTTGTTACTGATACAATGATGTGGGAAGAAACTAAGCCAAAATCAATCTGTTCTAATACCCTTGATTCTATAGGTGGGAATGCAGAGTGAGATGTCATATAATCACTGAAATCTCATTGGTGTTCTTCCTTCATGTGTTTGTACTTTGCAAGTGAATATTAGGTGGAACTGTCAAGTTTTTGAAGTTGTTGTGGCAAAGCTTATCTCTAGAACAAATGATTTCACGTTACTTTTTTCACGTGAGGTATAGCCTAAATGTGAATTGGAATTGATGGACAGAGTGCATCCAGTTGTAAGTGAGATATCTCCCCACTTGCTCCGTTTCCCCAGGGCCGCCCACCAGCCTCTTTCAGCCGCCCCGCCGTCCTGGACTGGGAACAGTGGGGAAACCGATCCGTCTCCTAGCCAATCATTTCCAAGTGCAGATCCCGAAAATTGATGTTTATCATTATGACGTGGATATCAAACCAGAAAAGCGTCCCCGGAGGGTGAACAGGTAAGGCCTCTTTGACAGCCCCGTGACTGTTATCCTCAGTAACCGAACTGCTATCAGTTGCAATGTTAAATGGACTATTTTGTTAAAGGGCTATAATATACTTGGAGCTTTGCAGTACGAAAATTAGATGTATCATTGAGCACCATACTCTACAATGACAATTGGATACTGTTGGCACACTTGTTCTTGAACTAAGATTGTGTTTCTTTGTAACTGTTCTTTGACTCTACTGCCTGATTTTGCTGTATACAAAAACAGTACAAGTAAACTAGATAAAAATTGTATCTCTAACTCAAGTGTCACTAACTTTGCTGTGTCCTTATTTGTTGTTGTTCATTCGTTCAGTCGTTTCCAACTCTTCGTGACCTCATGGACCAGCCCACGCCAGAGCTCCCTGTCGGGTGTCTATTAGCCTAACCTTAACTTTCTACTCTTTTCAGGGAGGTAGTGGATACGATGGTAAGACATTTCAAGATGCAGATATTTGGGGATCGGCAACCTGGCTATGATGGCAAAAGGAACATGTACACTGCGCATCCTCTGCCGATTGGCAGGGACAGGGTGAGTGCCTTCAGAAGATGCTGTGCTGAAATCAACAGCCCAGTGCCTGCTTTTTAAGGGTATCATGCTTGGACTGGCCATTAACATTACAGGAACATGGAGTATCAAAACACTGGGTAATTTTAGGGTTTAGAGCGGTCTAAATGGACTATTCTGTGGGAGCTTTAAGTGATATTGAAGCTGGCATTTGCTGGCATTGTCAGGAGGCAAGAACTCATTAGCATGTGTGTTGTTCTCTAAAGAGGGTACTTCACTTGTTTGAGTTGTACCATTTTTATGCTAAATAAAGCCTGTAAGTGCAGTCTGAAGGCCATTAAATCTCTACTTGATCTTAGTCTATTGTGTTTCTATCAAGTAATGATCTACTGTTTTGCTTGTAAGTTAGTCTTAGACAGCTTAGTTGCTGGAGCGGAGCGTTGGACTAGGGATTGTGGAAGACCAAGATTTCAATTCCCACATTGAGTGACGCTAGACAAATCACACCCACTCAGGTTCCTTTCAGTAACTGTTGGAAAAGTTTTGTGTAAGTTGTCACATAACAGCAGGATGGTATTTGTAGTCCTTGTGACTTTGGACATGGGATTCTGTGGCTTTTTCCATAAATGTGGCTTTCCTATAAATGTTTTTCAGGTGCCAATCATAGGAAGAAAAGGAGTTAGTCTTGCTGCATGTGCTAGTTTGTTGCACCTTAAAAGTAGATTGTGTTTTATTGACAAAGCCATGCTAAATAAAGCCGTTTAGTCTTTAGGACTCTTTAAACACACAACAAAGAAACACACTGAATGTTTGCTTATACAGTGCCGACCTCTGCCCCATATCTTTATTCTTTTGGAGGTATTTTTGCTGTAGAAGTATCTGCTTGTAGCCAAATAGTCCCAAATTGATAGAATGAGGGAAATTCAGCTTTAATGAGGGTGACCTGTTGGTGTTGGAGAAACCTTCCTTATCATCAGTTGCTTGCCTAACTTTCATTGTCGCCATTTCAGGTGGATATGGAGGTCACACTCCCAGGTGAAGGGAAGGACCAGACCTTTAAGGTGTCAGTTCAGTGGGTGTCTGTGGTCAGCCTTCAGCTGCTCCTGGAAGCTCTGGCTGGGCATCTGAATGAGGTCCCAGAAGACTCTGTGCAGGCTCTAGATGTCATTACACGGCACCTTCCCTCTATGAGGTGAGCTCCTCCCATATACTCTTAAACAACCTTTTGGTTATGTGTATCTACACCTTACACTGTGTAGGAATACAAAGTGATCAGGCCAGATATCTACACTTTTTAGCAGACTAGAACTATGTGTGCAAATTGCAGATTCATGCCTTTATGTTGTAGTGGGAATGGTAGCACCCATTCAAAAGATTGGGAGTGGTATCGGCTGGCTTGCAGAAGTACAGCTTTTTTTTTTTTTTTAAAGGAAGGCGGGGGAAATAATCCAGATAAGACTATATGGGGTTGGTAAGAACAACATGCTGCCTCAAGGTGTGTGTACCAGGAAAAATGAAAAGAGGGGATAGTATATTACAAAAGACGGATATGATTGGCTTGTGGAAACACTGATTGTTTTCACAAGCTTATTGTACATCCCACTTTTTAATAATTAATGATACTAATGTTATAGCACATTCACCCATATGGTTTCTCTATGAGAAAGAAAATAATAATAATAATAATAACATCAACAACAACAGGATTTAAAGATAAAACTGCAAAGACTTTGGCATAAGCTAGTAAAGGTGGTCCTAGTGGTGATCAGCACACTGGGTTCAGTGCCTAAAAACTTGGCCTGCCCTTGAAAACAATTGGCACTGACAAAATTACCATCTGTCAGCTGCAAAAGGCCACCCTACTTGGATCAGCATGCATTATTCTCTGATATATCACACAGTCCTAAACACTTGGGAAATGTCTGATGTTTGATCAAATACAAAAGCCAGCATAGTGATCTTGTTTGCTGTGCACTAACCTTATTGTGTATCTAATAATAATAATAATAATAATAATAATAATAATAATAATAATAATAATAATAGTTTGACTTGTTCTTGTTCTTCTCAGGTACACCCCAGTGGGCCGTTCCTTCTTCTCTCCCCCTGAAGGATATTATCACCCGCTGGGAGGAGGTCGGGAGGTCTGGTTTGGATTCCATCAGTCGGTCAGACCTGCTATGTGGAATATGATGCTCAACATTGATGGTACATAAGGCCTCTGTTGGCTTCAATGGCTGTCACTTGCCTCGATTCCCATTCTGGGATAAAGGCAGCATACAAAATAAACTGATCCTGCCAGTCTTTTCTCAGCCTTTCTTCCTATTCCCATTTCAGTATCGGCGACTGCATTTTACCGAGCCCAGCCAATTATTGAGTTCATGTGTGAAGTCTTGGACATCCAGAACATCAATGAACAAACAAAGCCCCTTACGGATTCCCAGCGTGTTAAGTTTACCAAAGAAATCAGAGGTGAATCTTTGGAGCGAATGCAATCATTTTATGTCAACTCAACTGTGATAATACAGAACGCTTGATTCCTGAATTCTCCTCTTTAAAGGAGTGCATCTATTGCCTTGACCATTATTACAGTTGAGGGGGGCATTTTTTCTAGATTTTGTTTTAGTCCTATTTACTGCAAACCCACTGAAATCACAGGGTTTCTGTTAATCATTGCTAATGCTCACTTATTTCATTGGATCCATATAGTATGTATTTAAATTTGGGTCCCATTCAATATTAGGGTTTTTTTTCCTCGTCTTTTATATTGGAACTAATTTCTTGATTAGCAGAATTTATTGGAGTTAAAGAAAGCATCTTTTAGCTTGGACTCCTTTTGGAGAAAATCAAGTAATTTATGTCAATAGGTGTGCCATAATTTCAGTCTGGGATTTTAAAATTGTAATATAATCTGAGCTGTTGAGATGATGGACTAGATACAGTAGGAAAACAACTGAAGTGCAGAGAGCAAAAACCACCTGAATAAAGAACCTCTCTCCACTGTGTCATGCTGACCTCTACTTACCTCTGTCTTTGTGGTTTTTTTCTGCTGGATTTCCAGGTTTAAAAGTAGAGGTTACTCACTGTGGGCAAATGAAGAGAAAATACCGAGTTTGCAATGTCACAAGGCGACCAGCCAGTCATCAGACGTAAGTATGCCTGTTCTTTGCTTTTAAGAATGTATCTAGAATATCTTTTGTTAGTGCGTTAGTATAACCTTGTGCATAACAGTGTACTGCTTTAATTATGGAACTTTTATGCTGGCCATATATACATACAGTGACTGCGAAGTAAATTAGACAGTCTTTGAGGCAGTTGCTCACTCCAAGGAACACAATCGTTCATTGCTTGGCTTTCTGAGGAATACTTAGAGGCGAGGCACTTGGGTAAGTGGTTTGGACTTCATTTCTTCGTCATCATTATTATGTTTATTTATACCCCACTTTTTCTCTCTACAAACAAAACTCAGTAGCTTACAATACAACTAATTCAATACAGTTTAAAATCCCAGAAGATTTTTTGTTGTTTATTCATTCAGTCTCTTCCAACTCTTTGTGACCTCATGGACCATGCCAGAGCTCCCTGTCGGCTGTCACCACCTCCAGCTCCTTCAAGGTCAAGCCATTACCTTCCCCAGGGATCGTATTTAGTCTGACCTCACTGCCATGACCTTCCTGTCTTGGGTGTCGCTTCATGATTTCGCTCATGGCATCACTGAAGTGCTCAAACTCCAGCACCGCGACAAGTCAGTGATCCTTTGCAGGAGCCCAAGAAGATACAAACATTGAAATAGAATTAAATATTAATGTTATTAAGAATAAGTAATTAAAATCTTTAAAATTGATTCTTTTTTTTCTTGTCAGGAGTGACTTGAGAAACTACAAGTTGCCTCTGGTCTGAGAGAGTTGGCCATCTGCAGGAACGTTGCCCAGGGGACGCCTGGTTGTTTGATGTTTTGCCATCCTTGTGGGAGGTTTCTCCCATATCCCCGCATGGGGAGCTGGAGCTGACAGGGAGCTCAACCCGCTCTTCCCAGATTCGAACTGGTCTTGCTGGCACAAGGATTGTTTGACTCCTTGTGCCACTGGGGGTTAACCAATTAATTGCTGCTATGACCATGGCCTTTTTCTTATTGCCACTCCAACCTAGGCCAACATAATAGTTATGAATCAGTTTTAAGAGTTTTAATGCCATTAATACAGGGTGAGGCAGCAAAACTTCCTTTTTTCAAAACTTAAAACCCATTGTATGAATCAGAATTTTTTTAATATAATGTAGGCGTATACCTAAAGTTTTGTTTTACGTAGTTTTGAAGATCAAATTAGGTAGGTGACGTCCCCCATTCTCAGTGCACTGAGGAAACTGGTTTCTGGCATTTGTCATGACTCTTGCCAGCATAGCAGGCGTTATGTTGGCAATTTCTTCCTGGATGTTGGTCTTCAAATCTTGTAGGGTCCTTGGACGGTTCACATAAACACGGGATTTCAAAAAACCTCATAGAAAAAAATCGCAAGGGGCCAAATCTGGAGAGCAGGCCGGCCACTCCAAATCCACTCGAAAAGTAGGCCTCAACGACAAAAGCACGCTCCTCACTGTTCCAACGCATGATAGTGACTGAACTGTGTCAGGACAAAACTTTATACTCCCGCCTCTTGAACAAGACCACTAGTGCTCCGCTACGTCTTCAACCGACTGAATGGTGCGCATTTTGAAAAAGGAAGTTATGCTGCTGCACCCTGTATTTTTATTTGCATACTTTAGGTTTTAAATTGTATTGTGTTGGTTTTACTTTTAGTCGCTTTGAGTCTCTTTTTTCAGAAAGAAAAAGCAGAGTACAGTGGAACCTCTACTTAAGAGCATACCAACTTAAGAGCATTTAGAGTTAAGACCCATTGCTTGGCCTGGCTTTCACTTTGACATAAGAGCAGCATTTTGAGTTAAGAGCTAGGGCCAGAGGGAGTGCTAGCGCGAGAGTACAGGGATGCAGGGCTTCAAGGGAGCAGTCTCCATGTTTTGTCCGCTTCGGGAGATTGCTATTCACTTTGTTCTTGTCCGCTTTGAGGAACTTTGAGTTAGTTGATTTTATGTGGTTTTTATTCTTGGTATGTTTGGCTTCCTTAAGAGATGGAGGGAGAGAGATCAAGAGAAGAAGGGAGGCTGGAATGAGTACAGTTTGAAGAAAATGGCTGCCTTTTAACTTTGTGCTTCCTTGCCATAACTTTGTACTTCTACTATTTTAAAGTTGAACTTTCTTTTTATTGTTCCTTGACAGTATATATTTATACATTATTTGTTATTTATATTTATTTAAAAATATAACAAAAAATTTGGGAGGGGGGCTTCAGGGGCGGAACTGATTAATAGCATTTCAGTGGGAAAATTCATTTTGAAATACGAGTATTTTGAGTTAAGAGCTTGGTCACGGAACGAATTAAACTGTATAAATAAAAATGATGATAATGATGGTGATGTTGATGATTCATGGGCCCAAGTATAGAGATCTTGTCCTGTGACCTTAAAGTGTGAGCTGCTGAAAATATGATCATTTTGAAACCAGCTTCAACCTCAAGATGTGACATCACATACTATGATTTTACCTTTAGAGCAGTGGAATCCAGTGGAAATGGGAGCAGTGAACTCCATCCCGCTTTATGTAGCCCTAAAACTGGCTCCGGAAGGCCGAGGTTTTGGGCAGTATGGAAAGGAGAACATTCTGTAGGGAGATACTGGATTTGGGTCCAAATGATTTGATTATTCTTTTAAAGTCATTCCCAAAATTGAATAATGTCAAAATGTAGCTTAACTGAACACATTTTTCAAAAATCAAAGAGAAACCTATCAATGTATGAAATTGCAGTCAGCTGCCCCCCATTAGGTACAGTTGACAGCACCTCCCGCCAAAAGCTCAACTTGCCATAGTATCAGTTAGCAATGTATAGTAAAGTAAACAAAGATCAACAGTTGAGAGAAAACATATTTCATGATCAATTGGATTAACTGTCCATAACCAGAGTGAATAGAATGACTCATGATAACTGAGAAAGTGACAGAGCTGCTTGAATGGATGTGCGCCATTGTCTTCTTTTCAACAGCCATCCTCCATCTGTTGCCAATTTGAGCACCTGCGGGATTGGCTGGCAAGCGGGTATGTATGGGAATAGGCAGGGGAATAGTGTGGCTTGCACAAGCCCCCTTGTTGTGTGGCTTTCTGGGAAAAAAAAATATCAGAAATTGAGAATCATCTCCAGAGTTATTGGGTGGCATGATTCTTCATTTAGATGCTTCTACCACCCACATGCACCTCATCTAGGCTCTGATTAACATTTTTAATAGAAATGAAATTCTGACAGTTTCTGATTTCATAAGAAAGTGGGAGGCATGGCCCATGGAAGCGGAAAACGAAGCAAGTTCGGCTCTCAGAGCCAGTAATGCCCAAGTTGGTGTCAATGGTCCCTCATCTTTGTGATGGTCTTCTGTATCACTCCTTTTGGTGCCTGTGAGCTATGGCTTTTGAATGACTGAAGTATCCATAAGCATTTGTCATCCAGGATCACATGAGAGAACCCGCAATTTGGGTGTTGGACAAGGACTTTGGGAGGCCATGGTTTGAATCCTTGCTCAATTATGAAAACTCACTGAGCAAGTCACATGCTCTCAGACAAAGGCAATGGCATAGCCCCTTTGAACAAGTCTTGCCAAGAAAGCTTTGTGATGGCATCATCACAGGTTGGGGACGAAATGGGAGGAATACAAGAAACAAACCATACCAGACCCCTTTCTTAAATATCTGCAGTGGTCATCTGTAAGTCAGTGATGTTCGAGGCAATACAGAAATCAGTATAGGCAGTCCCCAAATTAAAAGGCAAAGGTAAAGGTTTCCCCTGACATTAAGCCTAGTTGTGTCTAACTCCGGGGTGTGGTGCTCATCTCCATTTCTAAGCCAAAGAGACTGTATTGTCCGTAGACACCTCCAAGATCATGTGGCCAGCATGACTGTATGGAGCGCCATTGCCTTCCCACAGAAGCGGTACCTGTTGATCTACTCACACTTGCATGTTTTCGAACTGCTAGGTTTGCAAAAGCTGGGCCTAACAGTGGGAGCTCAGCCTGCTCCCCAGATTCGAACCACCAACCTTTTAGTTAGCAAGTTCAGCAGCTCAGTGGTTTAACCCGCTGTGCCTGTAGGGGTCCCCAAGTTAGTGAGGTGAAATATACTGAACCGGGGGCACAGGCAGTAAAACAAACATGATATGGGTGTTAACTTTTATCTATGAGATCTAAAGCTTATATACATATAAGCCGGAGGGTCTGGAGAACAAGCCCCATGAGGAGTGACTTAAAAAGTTGGGCATATTTAGCCTGCAGAAGAGAAGGCTGAGAGGAGACATGATGAGGGCCATGTTTCAAGATGTGATGGGAAGTCATAGAGAGGAGGGAACAAGCTTGTTTTCTGCTACCCTGGAGAACAATGGCTTCAAACTACAGGAAAGGAGATTCCACCCGAATGTTAGGAAGAAATTCCTAACTGTGTAAGAGAGCTGTTCAGCAGTGGAACTCTCTGCCCCAGAGTGTGGTCGAGGCTCCTTCTTTGGGGGCGATTTTTCTGCTTCTTTGCAGGGGGTTGGACTGGAGGTCTCTTCCAACCCTGTGATTCTATGATTTGGTATTTGGCTTGAGTTACACTTATAAAAAATGTACCTGCTCTGACTGACATACAAGTTCAACTTCCGACAAACCCATCTCTATGAGATCTAAAGTGTGTGTGTGTGTGTGTGTGGCTGGAGTTACACTTTTAAAAATGTACCTGTTCCGGCTTACAAACAAATTCAACTTAACCTCTCTTGTTTGTAACTTTGTGGACTGATTGTATAGAGACATTTTTGTTTGGTGAAGATTCAATTATATTTGTATCTCATTTTTCCTCACGGGAGTTCAGTCACAGTATAGGTGATTGCCCCCCTCCCTTTCCACAACTGCCCTGTGATGCAGCTCAGGATAATATGTAGGGAGCAACAAGGTTTTGTCATTGAATGTCTTGCTGCGTGAGGATTTGAACCAAGGTCCCTCCAGTCTGGCTTTATCTGTTACACAAGGCTGACTCTCTAACCCAGTACTTGCTTCCTCCCACAGATTCCCTCTGCAGCTGGAAAACGGTCAGGCCATGGAGTGCACCGTTGCACAGTATTTTAAGCAGAAGTACAGCCTGCAGTTGAAATACCCTCATCTTCCATGCCTCCAAGTGGGACAGGAGCAGAAACACACATATTTGCCTCTAGAGGTAAAACGCAGTTCTCCTTCTTACTTTCAACTGTTGCTTTGTGACTTGTTTACAATGTTGTGTTTCTGATCCTAGGTGTGTAATATCGTAGCCGGCCAGCGCTGTATCAAGAAGCTGACAGACAATCAGACGTCCACAATGATCAAGGCCACAGCTCGCTCTGCACCAGACAGGCAGGAAGAGATTAGTAGATTGGTGAGTAGCTCAGACTTGATCTTATAGAAATGGGAAGGGTCAAAGAGGATCCTGGCAAAACAAGCAGGTTTGACTGGATGAGCCTTATGATCTTTATGATTCTATGAGTTGCCATGTTGTTTCTATCTCTGTGGCCAGGTCAAGAGTAACAGCATGGTCGGTGGGCCTGATCCATATCTGAAGGAGTTTGGGATCGTTGTCCATAATGAGATGACGGAGCTGACAGGCAGGGTGTTGCCTGCACCAATGTTGCAATACGGAGGCCGGGTAAGTAGAAAAACAATAAACATTACAGAGATCAGGCTTGAAATTCTAAACATGCACAGCTGTGTTAGACTTGAGGCTTGCATCTATTTTAATACGAATTTTCTTCGGGCAGGCCTACCCAGTTAAATTGCTCTGCATATTTTAATGTGTATTTTCCAGAAATACGTTATAAATATATGTATTTTACAGAACTATATTTTAATATATGTATTTTACTGAAAGGCGGTGCAGCAAGTTAAACCACTGAGCTGCTGAACTTGCTGATGGAAAGGTCAGCAGTTCAGATCCGGGGAGCAGGGTGAGCTCCTGCTGTTAGGCCCAGCTTCTGCCAACCTAGCAGTTCTAAAACATTGCAAATGTGAGTAGAGCAATAGGTGCTGATCTGGCAGGAAGGTAATGGCGCTCCATGCAGTTATGCGGCTGGCTCTTCAGCTTAGAAATGGAGATGAGCACCACCTCCCAGAGTTGAACATGACTAGACTTAATGTCAGGGGAAACCTTTATCTTTACCTGATATTACTGAATGTTTATATGATGTGTTTTAACTATGTTGGGCCCTGCCTTGAGCCATGAGGAGAGGTGGGTAAGAAATAAAAATGGTGGTGATTATTGTTATTGTTCTTAAAATAAAGATATACTAAAACTGCAGCTAAAATACCACCAGTCACCAAAAGACTGCACAGCATTTCCACTGGCAATTCATAAAATAATTATTTAAAAGAACTGTGTTTCATTTCTGGATCTTCTTCAGAACAAGACTGTGGCTACACCAAATCAGGGTGTCTGGGATATGAGAGGAAAGCAATTCTATGCTGGCATTGAAATTAAAGTTTGGGCCGTGGCCTGCTTTGCGCCTCAGAAACAATGCCGGGAAGACCTCTTGAAGTAAGTCGCTTTGGTTTCATGGTGTGTGGAGTTCGTTTTGTTTTGCTTAGCATCACTTAATGGCATGCAGTAGCCTTTTCTTTAGGAATTTGTTTCTGTAAATTGGTAAACTGACTGAACAGGAAGGCACAAAAATATGTATATGGAGAATGCTGGCTTTATTTTTGTTCTATTAGATACATTGATATTCTGTTTTGCCTCCTAGGAACTCGGGGCAACCTCCTCCCCATTTCATCTTCCTTGGAATTTTGTTTATTAGCAGTAGGGTTATTTAGTGAAATAAATGGCTCAGCAAGGCCTAGATCTCCCAAGACCCACCATTAGCCCATGCTGGCTCTTAGCTATTTGGGAGTTTAAGATATTTCCCAGTTTCTAGGTACAGATTGCCAATTCAGTTCCTTTCTTGCACATGTGTCTAACTCAAGGCCTGCAGGACAAATTCATCCCTTCCTGTCCTTTTATGTGGCCCTCCAAATGCTGGACTACAACCACTCTATTCCTCATCATTAGACATCATGACTAAAGCTGATGGGAGTTGGGATCCAGGAACATCTGTGAGGCTGTAGTTTGTTCTGCTGAGTAAGGATAGTAGGGTTTGGGTTGAGATACGAAGTTCATGGGTATGATCTGGATTTAAAACATCCTTGAATCTTTTCCCAGCCTCAGAGCCACAAGGGCTGTTGGATTACAATTCCCATCATCCTCAGTCTGCATGGCAGATAATAAAAAATGACGGGACTTGTTGTTCAATAGCACCTAGGAATCCAAATTGGGTGAAAAAACTAAAGAGTACTGAATGCTAAGTGAAAAATATATAGTTGGTCCTCTATATCCACGGATTCTCTGTCCATGGATTCAAGGGCCCTTTGAAGGCAATCATAAGGCTGATGTGACCCTCAATGGAAATGAGCTAGACCCCCTTGCTTTACTGTGACCACAGAACTGTCTTGATGGATCTTGCCAAAGTTCATTTAGCCTTGTATTCTGTTGCTATGGTAAGCAAGGCATGGGATGTGACACTCCAATTTGTTCCTTCTTGTTTAATTGTATAGTAGCTGCGGTAATCACATGGTCTTCAGTATATTGTTGGACTCACTGCAGGTCCCAGAAGCTTAACTGGCCAAAGCCCTACTGGGCATTGCAGTTCTCATCCAGAGGCTTCTTTGAGCTGCCAGTTCCCTCAACTCGCATGCCTTTCCTGCATTTGATCTCTCAATGTCACTTCAGATGGTGGCCATTGTGTCTCATCCCTGTGAATCCCATTGTGCTTAGTGCTTAAATGGAAGGGATTTCAAACTGTCGGGTTTCCTGTGCCGTTGCCTTCAAGAGCTCAATGTTTTTCTGCAGGAGCTTCACCGACCAGCTACGCAAGATCTCCAAGGATGCCGGGATGCCCATCCAGGGCCAGCCATGCTTCTGCAAATACGCCCAGGGGGCTGACAGTGTGGAGCCCATGTTCAAACACTTGAAACTGACTTATGTTGGGTTGCAGCTCATCGTAGTGATTCTCCCTGGAAAGACGCCTGTCTATGGTAAGAGAGAGCATTTGGCACAATCCCCAGAGCTGGTGCACCTTCTGTTGTGTTTTGGGGTACTTGGCATCTCATTTTCTCCCACAGTGTTGTTATGCAACCTGGTATTATCTGTGCGAGCAGTCCCAGTCGTGAAACTTTAACAAAAAGGCAATCTGAAGCAAATCTATTCCCCCCACCCCCATCTTTCCCTTACAGCTGAAGTCAAGCGTGTTGGGGACACCCTTCTTGGCATGGCCACCCAATGTGTCCAGGTGAAAAATGTCGTGAAAACCTCACCGCAGACTCTGTCCAACCTCTGCCTGAAGATCAATGCGAAGCTCGGCGGGATAAACAATGTGCTGGTACCACATCAAAGGTCAGATTAAAGGCAATAACATTCAGGCTTTAATGGAGATGTGGAGTTGCAAGGGCATTTGGAAGAAATGAGCAGGTACCCAGAAATTAAAAATCACATACTGTGTTCACTCCAGCGAGTTACATGCTTATCCAAGCTAGATGTTCCTAAATTCAGGAAAGCCTTCAGCCTGACTAGATTTAATGTTCTTTTTATGTGAATAGTTTTTAATGATAGAAATATTTAATACAATAATATAAAATGGGGATAATCAGAATGAGGAAGAAACTTATAGGCAACTTTTACCCGAGGGAAGGTGATTATTTCCTGGGAATATAAGGTACGATATGGGGTGGAAAAGGGAGGCAGGGAAAGGAAGGGGGATTTGGTTGACATCCAATCTCCAGTTTCTTGCGTACGTTATTCTGGCAGCCGTAACAAAATAATTGAACAATTTATCCTTATTTTTATCTAACTCCATATCTACCCTACCTACTAGGAAATATTCCGGTTTCAATTCTTATTTCCAATATTTTCTGAATTCTTTCCTGTACATTCTTCCAATAGTTATTCGCTACTTTACAAGACCACCACATGTGGTAGAAAGTCCCCACATGTGTTTCACATTTCCAGCATTTATCTTGTGTGATTTTATATCATTGTGCCAACTTTTGGGGAGTTATATACATCATTTTATACCAATTTTCTTTCAGGTCATATGCATATGTGTATTTTAATTTGTTATTCCATATTCTTTCCCATTCCTCCAGCTTGATTTAATGCCCAAAGGTGGCTGCCCATTTAATCATACAGTCTTTTACTCATTCAGTTTCTGTTGACTACTTTAATAGGGTCTTATAGATTTTTGTTATAAGTTTCTTTTCTGTTAGGATTATATTATCCCATATAGATTCTTTTTAATGTTCTTATATGCATGTGGTCTGGATGACATGGAAAGTACCAGACATATCCGGTTACATTGCCACTTTTACAGAAACATTTGAGCTGCTTTTATTACTCCCATTGTGCAGAAGATCCCTGGCGGAAGTGAATACTATTTAAAATATCTCAGAGAGAGTAGTGAATCATGGATCACTATAACAGAGGCTAAATTTTGTGCTGCTGACTATATCTCGGAGGGGGGAAATGGCAAAACCTGCTTTTACAGGAACTGTGAAATTTAGGAATCTTGAAGGCACACAACAAGGTCAGAACCGTAATAGTGAAACATGTGGAAATGTGCGAATTCTGTTATATAACCTGTAGTCTTTCTTATTGCTATTTGAAATCTGTGATCTGAATGACACAGCTGGTTGAACCATTTGGTTCAGATGTACACAATCAGTTATGGACTGGCCGATGGATGCCCTGAGCCAAACCCAAGCCAGTATTTGTCAGGATGTGTTTGTACAGAGTAATTTAGTGAGCACATCCTGAACCATCTCTCTGTCCATTATACTAGTGCTATTCAAACTGGTAGTCCATGGTCTGATGGCAACCCATAATCCATCAGCTGTCCATCCCTGGAGACTTTTTGGGAAAGAAAGGAACCATTATAACAAACAGATATGCTCCCCTTCCTTACCACACTATGAGGGACAAAGTTCTCATTCCTCAGCATCAGAGGGTTCAGGAAACACCACTTTGAATCTCAACTTTTGACTGTAGCACATGGGAATTATGCAGCCCTCAGCTCAACCACTTTCCCAAAAGTGTTGAATGCTTTGCCAGGTTTATCAATGTATGCATTTCATAAACTCACTAATAATAGAATAATAGTTGGAAGTGACCATATGGGCCATCCAGTCCAACCCCATGATGCCATGCAGGAAAAGCACAATCAAAGCACCCCCGACAGATGACCATCCAGCCTCTGTTTAAAGGCCTCCATAGAAGGAGCCTCTACCCCCCCTTTGAGGTAGTGAGTTCCACTGTTGGACAGCTCTTGTTACAGTCAAGAAGTTCTTCCTAAGGTTGAATCTCCTTTCCTGTAATTGGAACCCATAGCTCCATTGAATCCTAGTGTCCAGGATAGCAGAAAACAAGCTTGATTCCTCTTCCATATGACATCTTTTCAGGTATTTAAACATGGTCCTCACCATGTCTCCTCTCAACCTTCTCTTCTGCAGGCTAAACATACCCAGCTCTTTAGTTGCTCTCCTCTGGACGACTAATTATTATTCCAGGTGAGGTCTAACCAAAGTGAAATAGAGGGCTACCATGACTTCCCTCAATCTAGACAATATATTCCTTCTGATGCAGACCAAAATCCTATTGACTTTTTTAGCTGCAGCATCACATTTTTTACCCGTTTCCAAGATCTTTTTCACATGTGCTGTTGTCGAGTCAGGTGTCACCCATCTTGTGTCTTTGCATTTCATTTTTTCTGTCAACAAGGATTGGTGATGGTGGTGCCTTTCCTTGGTTCCCTGTTGAAACCTCTCCCCGTTCGTTCTCTTTGACAGGCCCTCCGTCTTCCAGCAGCCGGTGATCTTCCTGGGGGCGGACGTCACTCACCCGCCAGCCGGGGATGGGAAGAAGCCCTCCATCGCTGCTGTTGTGGGCAGCATGGATGGCCACCCCAGCCGCTACTGCGCCACAGTGCGAGTGCAAACATCCCGCCAGGAGACCTCCCAGGAGCTGCTCTACAGCCAGGAAGTGATCCAGGACCTGACCAACATGGTGCGCGAGCTGCTGATCCAATTCTATAAGTCCACGCGCTTCAAGCCCACGCGCATCATATATTACAGGGGAGGGGTCTCTGAAGGCCAGATGAAACAGGTAGGCCCCCAAATGGGCCCCAGATGCATGGAAGCATTGGGGCACCTCTGAGTGGTTTTCAGCCCAAGAGAAGCCTTCATGTTTATATCTAAGATTGTTTTTAAATTTGCATGTTTATCAAAAAGAACAACAATACATATACAGAACAACCAACTGGGACCCAATTGTCAAACTGTCCTATTTTCTTTCTGGGAAGAATATACAACTTAATCTGCTGCATAGTGAATACACCAGTGCCATGATTGTATTGACTATGCTCTTACCTCCTCCCTTGCATCCTGTTTTAGTTGCTTTCTATCATGTAGAGTTAGGTTCTTACTTCCTATCACAATATTTTCCCATTCTTTCTTCTAGCATGATAGTTATTATTTGAAAATTCCATACGAAAAATTCTAACAGTTTAAATTCTGAAGTTTTCTGGAAAAACTTTCTCCTCTTTCTTTATTTTTACAAAATTTAGAAATGGTTCCCAGTCTTTGATAAAGTTTTTTTTTTTTGCAGTTTTTCCTTTGTTCATCATTGCCAATTGATCCATTTGCACTGTTAGAAAATTTTTTCCAATCCATTCTTCTCTTGTCAGAAGGTCTGGCTTATTCCAACATGGTGCATATCACAACCATGCCACGTACAATGATCATTGCAGTACAATGATCATGTACTACAGCACTTTGTTGTTTAGTCTTTTTTGTTGATTTGCATGCCCAATAAAATAATACAGACTCTAATTTGATTTGAAATTTTCGGCAATGCAATCCACAAAAGAGTGGCATCTTTTGTAAATACTAGGGCTAGAGCATCCTTGGAGTTTAATATCCACAAAGGGGCCAGAAACTAAAACCTCTTATGAATACTAAGAGCTGGCTGTATACTTAAAAACGTATTATGCAAAAATAAATATTTCTGTTAAAAGCAAAAACTTTAAACAAATGTGTTGTCAAAGGCTTTCACTTGGTGGTTGTGAGTTTTCCGGGCTGTATGGCCATGTTCCTGAAGCAATCTCTCCTGACGTTTTGTCCACATCCATGGCAGACATACTCAGAGGTTGTGAGGTTTGTTGGAAAATAGGCAAGTGGGGTTTATATATCTGTGGAATGTCCAGAGTGGGAGAAAGAACTCTTTGTCTGTTTGAGACAAGTATTCATGCTGTAATTGATCACCTTGATTAGCATTGAATAGCCTTGCAGCTTCAAGGCTTTGTCTACTCCCGTCTGGGAGAATCCTTTGTTGGAAGGTGATTAGTTGTCCCTGATTGTTTCTAGTCTGGAATTCTCCTGTTTTTGAGTGTTGTTCTTTCTTTACTGTCCAGATTTTTGAGCTTTTTTAAATACTGGTAGCCAGATTTTGTTCATTTTTATGGTTTCCTCCTTTCTATTAAAATTGTCCACATGCTTGTGGATTTCAGTGGCTTCTCTGTGTAGTCTGATATTGTGGTTGTTAGAGTGGTCCAGCATTTCCGTGTTCTCAAATAATATTCTGTGTCGAGGTTAGTTCATCAGGTGCTCTGCTCTGGCTGACTTCTCAGGATGAATTAGTCTGCAGTGCCTTTCATGTTCCTTGATTTGTGTTTGGGGAATGCTGCGTTTAGTGGTCCCTATGTAGACTAGTCCACAGTTGCATGCTGTGTTTCTTCATCGGTGTTCTTACCATATATAAAAAGAACCACTGACCGGAGAGGGAAGCTGATGAAGAAACATAACATACAAACTACCTGCAGAACCAGCTAAGAAAATCCAATAAATGCTATGTTCAGCAAAGGACAAGAGGGATCAAGCTAGTCAGTTGCAACATTCACACCTGCTTCAAACAGATAAGAGTTCATTCTCCCACCCTGGACATTCCACAGATATATAAACCCCACTTGCCTGGTTTCCAACAAACCTCACAACCTCTGAGGATGCCTGCCATAGATGTGGGCGAAACTTCAGGAAGGAATGCTTCTGGAACATGGCCATACAGGCTAGAAAACTCACAGCAACCTTTTAAACAAATGAATACATTTCATGCCACATTGAATGAAAGCTCCCTCAACATAACCATGACTGCCTTAAATCCCACTATTCTGCTAGGCCTCCTCTCCAGGTCTGCGTATAATCCATTGTCTCAAAGAGACCAGGCAAGCAATTGATGTCAAGCTTTCACCCTTTTCTAGGTTGCCTGGCCAGAGCTCATAGCCATCCGAAAGGCCTGCATCAGTTTAGAAGAAGACTATCGGCCTGGGATCACCTACATCGTTGTGCAGAAAAGGCACCACACAAGGCTCTTCTGCGCTGACAAAACAGAAAGGGTAGGTCAAGCTGGGCTGATGGGAGGGAAGGAGCCACCTTGTTAAATTGGACCACTCCTAGGGAAGGATTATTGCTAGAGATGGAGGATGGTGTTTCTCATCACATTTCATCAGGTTGCCTTTGCATTTTCACAAAGTATGTTGACTCCGGGATATTCCTTTTAACATCTTATGGAGGGATGTCAAACCTGTTTCCATTGAGGGCCACATCAGCCTGAGAGTTACCTTCAAAGAGCCCTTGAATCCATGGACGCAGAATCTGTGGAGGCAGAAGGCCAGCTAGAGGTTTTTTACATAGTGGTTGATGCTCTTTTGATTTTACCCAGTTTGAATCCCCAGATGTTATTGAATGAAAACTCATGGAATCAGAGTTGGAAGAGACCTTGTGGGCAATCTAGTCCAAATACCTGCCAAGGAGCAGGAAAATAGCATTAAAAACCCCTGACACAGAGGGCCATTCAGCCTCTGTTTCAAAGCCTCCGAAGAAGGATCTTCCACCACACTCCGGGACAGAGCGTTCCACTGCTGAACAGCTATCACAGTCAGGAAGTTCTTCCTAATGTTCAGGTGGAATCTCCTTTCTTGTAGTTTGAAGCCAGTCTCCAGGGCAGCAGTAAACAAGTCCGCTCCCTATGACTTCCCCTCACATATTGATACATGGTCATCATGTCTTCTCTCGGTCTTCTCTTCTGCAGGCTAAACATGCCTAGCTCTTTAAGCTGCTCCTCAGAGGGCTTGTTCTCCAGACCCTTGATTATTTGAGTTACCCTCCTCTGGTCACTTTCCAGCTTAGAATCAACATCTCCCTTCAATTGTGGTGCCCAGAACTGGACACAGTGTGATTCCAGGTGTGGTCTGACCAAGGCAGAATAAAGGGGTATCCTGACTTCCCTGGATCTAGACACTAGACTCCTATTGATGCAGGCCAAAATCTCATTGGCTTTTTTAGTAGCTGCAAGACATTGTTGGCTCATGTTTAACTTGTTCCCCATGAGGACTCCAAGATCTTTCACTTCTCATTGTCTGCCATGCATATTGGGGATGATGAGAATTGCAGCCCAATAGCACTTGTGGCTCGGAGGTTGGGGAAGGGTTTATGGGCATTTTAACTTCAGGCATCATGTCTGTAAGCCTTGTATCTCAATCCAAAACCCACTCTCCTGACCAAACAGAACAAACTGCAGCCCTCCAGATGTGACTGTATCCCAATTCCCATCTGCTCTAATCATGATGTCAAATGCTGAGAAATATGGGAGTTGTAGTCTAGCATCTGAAGGGCCCCATAAAAGAACATGGCGGGCTGGATTCAGCCCACGGGCCTTGAGTTCAACACATGTGTTTTATGGCATTGAATGTCTTTAACAAAAAGTTGAAATGCTTGGGAGCTGAGCGTAGATGCAGAAAATGCTACTCCTGTCTATATTTCAAGTCTGATCTCAGCACTGAAATACTGTATAGCAATCATGGGCAAACTTTGACCCTCCAAGTGTTTTGGACTTCAACTCTACCAATTCCTAACAGCCAGTAGGCTATTAGGAATTGTGGGAGTTGAAGTCCAAAACACCTGGAGGGCCAAAGTTTGCCCATGCCTGTTGTATAGCAATATGGGAAAGCTTCAGGAGGCTTGAAGAGAGGGAGCAGATTTTCCTGAAATACTCAAAGCCTAGAGCTTTGAAAAGCTGATGTGAAAAAGAAAACCAAAAGTTAGGTGTACAAGGACCACGTTAATATAGTAGTTAATATAACAGAATAATTTCAACTTTCCTTCCAGGTGTTAGTTGCAGCCGTGTTCCTAGCATACTCTTTTAGGCTAGTTTTGAGGCATATTTGTGGCCAGGGTAAGTTATATGGTTGACGTTGAAACTGTGGTCTCGGATAAATATGTTTGTGGCTTTTGTCCTTCCATCAGGTGGGGAAGAGTGGCAATGTCCCAGCAGGCACCACTGTGGACAGCACCATCACGCATCCCTCCGAATTCGACTTTTACCTCTGTAGCCACGCGGGGATTCAGGTAAAGGGCAACTTTGGTTGCAGCATTGCTGAGGATGGCTTGGTATTTGTGGGTTCGTTACTGTAGCTGAAAGTAAGAATAAGGGTAAATAAAAATCTTAAATGCTGTATATACTCAAGTATAAGCCGGCCTGAATATAAGCCAAGGCACCTAATTTTACCACAAAAAACTGGGAAAACTTATTGACTCAAGTTTAAGCCGAGGGTGGGAAATGCAGCAGCTACTGGTAAATTTCAAAATTGAAATAGATGCCAATAAAATTACATTATTTGAGGCATCAGTAGGTTAGCTTTTTTTTTTAATATTTATCAAAGAAAATCAGTAAACTAGCTCTGGAAGTGGAAAGGTAGGGTCAACAAAAACAATATGGTATCAATAATAACTTAATAATACATTTGTGTCCCTCCCTATCTCCCCATAGGGACTCAGGCCGGCTTCGAACATAGTAACAGGCAAACATTCAATACAAACAGAACTAGATATAGATCTATAATTATATATGGGAATTTCACATAGGCATTTTCCCAAAACATTTGAAACTCCTCTCTCTATATATATGTGTATGTGTGTGCATTTCCCTCCTTCGATATTTGCAAGCCCTATATTTCTATATTCATATATATCAATCTAGACATCTCTATATACATTATATACAGTAGGGTTTGCAAAGACTTGCAACATGTGAGGGGAAAATTCATATATAAAATTATACACACACACACACACACAAACACGGATTTACAGATATCTAGTTATCTCTATATATTTATTGATAATCTATACCTGTATAGGATTTGCAGAGACTTGCTAACACGTGAGGGGAAAATTCATATATAAAAATAACATACATATAGATACAGATATACAGCTACATTGAAATCTCTAGATATCTATACACTATGTATATAGGATTTGCAAAGACCTGCAAACATATGAGGGGAAAACTTCCAAGGGAACAAAATGCACATATAAAGTTAATACACTTAGATACACAGAAAAAAAGCCAGGAAATTGGGTGGGTTTGAAAGAGAGCCATACAAACAAGGAGGGCATGAAATACATCTCCTTTCCCTCCTTCCCTCCCTTTTGACTGGAAAAGAAAACACACTGTCAAGGGAGGTGAAGAGGAGAGAGAAATATATCATATATTGCAAGCAATAGCCTCCAGGCTCCGCTGCCTGGCTTGACCCCATAATAAGACAAGGGAGACTTCTTCAGCTCAGAAAAAGGGCTGAAAAATTCAGCTTATCTTTGAGTATAATATATAATAGATGGAATTAGAATAACTAGAAGTCTGACAAAGTTGTAAATTTGTATAAAGCGAATACATTGTATTACTTTATTTTAAATAAACTTTTCAAAAATAAAAAAATAGAAAAAAATTGTAAAAAAAAGTAGAAAAAAAGAAAAAATGTTTTCAGAAAAAAATTAAAATACATTCCTGTGCAGATTTGTGCCCATTGACACTGTCCTAAAGCAGTGGTGTTGAGCCCCTTGAAATGTGTCTGGTGGGCATCCTCATGACTAGATGCAAATGCACTACTTGGCTGTCAGTGGAGCAGCCCCTTCGGTTGATGAGTCCTTCCCTGCTTAAGGATCTGCCCTTACAAGTGGCCGGTTTTCCTTCTTCCAGGGAACCAGCCGCCCTTCCCACTATCAAGTCCTGTGGGACGACAACTGTTTCACCGCAGATGAATTGCAGCTGCTGACCTACCAGCTCTGCCACACATACGTCCGCTGCACACGCTCTGTCTCCATCCCAGCTCCCGCGTACTATGCCCGGCTGGTAGCGTTTCGGGCCCGGTACCATCTTGTGGACAAAGACCACGACAGGTGAGTCAATCGGGCTTCCTTCAGGGTATGCGCCTCCCTCTTGGGTGAAACCCAGCATCAGGGTCTGTAGGTTCTCAGGGATGTCCCTTCTCTGTTGGCTATCCTTAGCTGGCTTTGTGAGGCACATGGAACAGCTAAATCATCCATTTGAAATTGGTCTCAGAGGTTAAAATCTCCATTTTTACTCACTCCCCAGCCTGGATTTGTTTGGTAAGAAATCTGGGTAGAGGTTCTTCATAGTTTCTGTCATTCTTGGCTTGAAGAACAACACTTGCAGTAGCCACTTGGCACACTCAGTTCATAGTGCTGTATTTAGACAATTAGGATTACATTCCTTTTTGAAATTTGGCATAAGGTTGTGTCGACCATGTGGTGCAGTGGTTTGTGCCTTGGACGGTGACGCTGGAGATCACAGTTTTTGAATCCTCAGCTTGAACAAGGCACTCACTCTCCAAAAAACAAGGGCAAACCTCCTGTGAACACATCTTCCCAAAAAAACCCCGTGATACATTCACCTTAGGTTTGCTATTGGTCAGGAATGACTAACATTGACCTCATTCCACTTAGTTGGGTAAATAATGAAATGTTATGTTCAGTTGGAAGGGAGGTGTGTGGGGGCTACACAGAGAATGCACTTGGGAATGTGGGCATTGTGAATAGTGAGGTTAAGACGCACTCAACATGTAGGAAATGTAGAGAGTAATAGCTATTTTATAATGACACTTGAAACAAATTCCAAACTAACTGGTCTCCGAGAAATCCGCCAAAGTCCACAGATCCCTAGGTTGCATTGTAAGGGCATCTTAGTTTTAGTAGTTCTTTGTATGTTCACTAAGGGAAGTACCTGAAATGCTTCTGAAGAAGCTGCAGTTCAGTGGTCAGATGCATGCATCAAATATATCAGGAGCAGTGCAGGGAGCTGGGTCTGCTTAGCTTGGAAAAGACAGGGCTGAGAGAAGGGAGCATAAGAGCTGTGTTTAAATAAATATGTTAAAGGAGGTCTTATTGAGGAGGAAGGGGCAAGCGGTTTGTTTGTTTGTTTGTTTGTTGTTGTTTTTTTTGCTGTTCTGGACCCAATTGAATCATGGGTTCAAATTTCAAGGAAAAAGATCCCACCTAAATATTAGGAAGAACTTCTGACTGGCAGAGCTGTTGAATAGTGGAATAGACTGTTGCCATGGAGTCTCCTTCTTTGCAGGATAGGTGGCCATTATTGGGGGTGCTTTGATTGTGTTTTCCTGAATGGCAAAAGGGGTTGGACTGAATGGCGCTTGTGTGGAATATGGTGGAGTCTCATTCTCTGGAGGTTTCTAAGCACAGGCTGGATGGCACTCTGTCGGGAGAGCTTGGATGACATCTCCCTTCATGGAAGAACAGGGATGGCCTGGAAGAGCCTTGGGCTCTCTTCCAACCAGGATTCTTTGTGGAAGATGCCCCAGCGTGTGTAAATAGAGTCATAGAATCATAGAGTTGGAAGAGACCTCATGGGCCATCCAGTCCAACCCCCTGCCAAGAAACAGGAAAACAGCTTGGCCAGAACAGTCATGCCACAGGATGCTGTTTTCCTGCCTCAAGGGGACATCATCCCTGAGACCAGTTGCTGTGAGGTCACCTCGCAAACTCTACGTCTGTTTCCTTTCAGTGCTGAAGGGAGCCATGTTTCGGGACAGAGCAACGGCCGCGATCCGCAGGCGCTGGCCAAGGCAGTGCAGATCCACCACGACACCCAGCACACCATGTATTTCGCCTGATGGGGACCCTGGGGAGGTGAGGGAACTGGGATGCGGCCTCCGCCGACTGAACGACTGACCGGCCGGCTCTGGGGGCCTGGTTGGATCCCCGGCGGCCCACCAGCAGCAGCAGCAGCAGCAGCTTGGACAATTGCACTGAACCGACGGCGCTGGCGGCCCCTTGGGAAGCAGATGCAATTGAGCCATTTTTATTTTGTGATTTTCAGCAAACGGAAATTTCATAGACAGTCTTTGCATCGGACTGAATTTTTACCTCAAAAGTGCAAGAGGCTGATTCTTCCTAAAAGGAGAATTTTTAAAGGACCGGGCACGTTGTTTTAAAAAAAAGGTTTTTATTGAAATATTTTGCTAATCTGTTTTAAGTTACCTCTTTGTTCCCCTTAAGCTCGCCGAGATGCCAGATTCCTCTTCGTCCCTGCTTCATGAAGCCTCTGGATGCGGCGAAACATCGTGTTCCACTCTCTTTCTCTTGCGGGGGCCATATATATATATATATATATATACATAGACTTAAATCACAGAACTTTTACTGTAAATGCCTTTTAAGAAAGCATTAACTTTCAGAGGTATCACTTGGGGAGTTTGTTTTGTTCCGCTTGGTTTTACTATCGTTCTCTTTTTGTAAATCTCTCTGCAGTCAGTCAGTCGTGGGCTGCACAGCAATTGCACTATAACGGCGCATTCGACTCGGTGGTTCTGGTTCTGTGAATGTGTGACGTAAGTGGACAGCGAGGCCCTTTGGCAGGTCTAAAACAAAAATCCATATATATATATATATATATATATATATATATATATATATATATGAATGAGAGAGTTACAACTGCCACTGGATGGCTCTGAATGCCAAGCATCTTTCCCCTCTTTTAAACCATGCGACAGAGTCCTAAACTATTAGTTCTAGGTATTTTTCAGACATGACAAAAGTGCCCATTTTATGCTGCTGTGTTTGATGATGTCATTTTTAATACTCTTTTTCATAGAAGGTTTTAACTTTGGCAATAACTTCTTCTTTTCTTTTTTTAAAAAAATAATATATGCTCCGGCCGTAACTTTTCTAGTCAAATATACTTTACATGAGTTACAGCTGGCCTTCTTGTATAGATTGACTCAAAAAGAAAGAAACTAGTTCTCAACGAGAAAAGAAGATCGGTCGAGGCTCCCTTCATGCTTTTTATGGATGATTATTTTTAACCGTTTTGTATCCACCGTTGGTCTGTCCAGCCCCCCTTTTTTATAAAGCTCACGTTCCGAATAGGAGAAAGGCTCGGTTGCCAATATGTACAGCTGTGTATAGTGTCGATGGTAGCAATCAAAAAGACTTTTGAACCAGCATTTTAAAAAAACTGTTTCTCTGAGAAATTTAGGTCGCTCGCATGTACCGATAGCACTCAGTAGCATGTGTGAAGTGTACAAAAATGTAATGTCTCTTTTTCTTTCTTCTATGAATTGGGGGCTCTTTCCTTTCCACTGAAGTGTGCAATGCAAAAAGGAAGGCTGAGGCCGTAGGGAAGAGGAGGGCCTCCTCAGAATATCATAGAGCCCCGTGCTGTGCGAATGAATGTTGGCACATGATGCGTGGAAATGGGATACCATGGCACCACTGCCAACAGTTGACTCTCAACTTGTGCACCTTCCCACTGGAGACCTCAAGGCTAGCAATAGGTTCTGCTTCATTTGGAGGTTTTGTTGTTTTTTTGTGCGTGTCAGGAGCAACTTGAGAAACTGCAAGTTGCTTCTGGTGTGAGAGAATTGATCGTCTGCAAGGACGTTGCTTAGGGGATGCCTGGATGTTTTGATGTTTTTACTATCCTTGTGGAGAGGCTTCTCTCATGTCCTGCATGAAGAGCTGGAGCTGACAGAGGGAGTCATCTGTGTTCTCCCCGGATTCGAACTTCAGTCCTGACGGCACAAGGGTTTAACCCATTGCACCACCGGGCTTTTGAGGCAAAACTTGGAGGCAACTATTATTATTTTTACTACTGCTACTATTACTTGGGATGTTTGACTTCCGAACCCTGTTGTTTTGGCTTCACAAGGGTACATTGATGTAAGCTGCTTCTTCCAATTTCATTGGAGGTTGGCAAACTGATTCTTCTTTTCTTTATTAGACAGTAGGGAAGCACTGTAGACAGGCTTAGAGACTGAGTGTATTGGACTCTTATCTCCCCTCCCCCTTAAGATACCTCACCCGTGTAACAAATACCAAGAGAAAGAGAGGGTGACCGCTGCTTTTGTTCGTCTGTTGCTTTCCTTTATTTCTCATTTCCTTTTCCTTTTTAAAGAATGCTTGTTCAGGGAGAAAACAGCAGCAAGACTTCATGAAACTCTTGCTGCCCCAAACCCAAGGAGAGACCTGAGGCACCTTGAAGAGGGTTGAAAGCCCCTGTTTTAGTATGTAGCATTTTTAATTTTTTCCTTTATTGCACTAGGGAAGGACATGGCTTGAGATATGCGAGCCAGATGTGCAGAGAATGGGAATAAGTGCATGTTGTTCTGTCCAGAAATAGATGGCGTCCAAGGACAGAAACATGCCCTTGTTTCCCAATTGAGCCTTGATTCTACCGAATATCAGTGGAATGATAAAGTTTCCTCCTCAAAACACCACTGAAACTTGCCACTGAAGGAGGTATTTGCATCAAACCTATATTCACCCCCTTCCTCCCCAGTTTGGCTGCATTTGCAATAATAGTAATGATGGGTTGTTGTGAGTTTTACAGGCTGTATGGCCATGTTTCCGAACATTCTCTCCTCACATCCTCTCTGAGGATGCCTGCCAAAGATGCAGGCCAAACGTCAGGAGAGAATGCTTCTGGAACATGGCCATACAGTCCGGAAAATTCACAACAACCCAGTGATTCCAGCCATGAAAGCTTTCAACAATGCAATAGTAGTGATGATGATGATGGAGATGGAGATGGAGATAACTAGCTTTGGCCCCAAACTCTGCAGATAGGAATTTTAACAAAGCTCTGAAATGGCTTTTCTGGCCCATTTGGTAAAACAAAGCCAAGGAGAAATGACTTCGATCAACTTTTGCCTTTTTTATCAGAGGAAAACACAATCCTTACGTGTATGTATATATATTTTCCCTTCTGTCTCACAAGCCACAGTTATCTTTCAAAGTTGTCTTTGTGATGAAAAAAGAAAATATGGCTGCAGTATATTATTTTCGATGCAGTTTATGGTTTTTCCTCCCCTTTTGACCCCTCAAAATATGTTCTTTGCCAACTTTTTGCACTTTCTTGGGATTTATTTCATGGCTTTCCCCTCTTATTTGCCCTTGTCGGACATTGTCTGCTGTGCAAAAATCAGAATAATATTGTTCAGTCGCTGGAGAGCGATGATGATGTCTTTGGGGCAGACTTTCCAAAGCCGAAGGTCGATGGAAGGAGAGGGCGGCATTTTGGTGACCGGAGCAGCAGATGAAATGACCACCGAAAACCCTATTTGTTAGGATCTGGCCCTGATTCATGTATCGACTGCGCTCCTTGGAAGTTTGGCCCCAGTGATCAACAGGCGCATGTGTCAATCAATGGGAAGACGTGCATTCGGTAGCTGTAGGTTTAAGAGTGTGTTTGGGTTTGTTTCTTTGGATGCTTTCCCTTCCCCTTTCTTTAGCTGCATGTTGTGGAAGGTTTTCAAATGTAGCCAATGGGGGTACTTGGGATAACGGCCAAGAGAGGAGAGCAAGTTGGAGCGATGGGTGGCTCTCCATCAGCCAAGGCTTTGCCAACCATTATATGCCCAAAAGAGAAGGCCTTTTAAGCCTGGCTCCCAAAGAGGGATCCAAGGGAGGTGAAAATCAGCCTTCCTGGGCCTCTCCTCCGATCGACATCCCAAGCCTCTCTTGGACGGATGGACAGAGACCAAGCCCAAGTCCCAGCGAGAGGCGAAGGGCCCCCCAAAGTCCCCCCAAAGGAGAGATCCCCTTCCCCTTTTGCTCCATTGCTACCTGGCTTTCATTTTCGGAAAGCGGGGCTCAGAGGGCATTTGTATCAAGACTTATTCCGACTGCGAGGGTTTCCCCCCTTAAAGCAGTTTGAGCAAGAAGAAGAAGAAAAAGGATCGTCTGTGAATATCACTCCAGAATTTTCTTTCTACCTTGCTATGGACACTTTTTTTGGTGATATTTCTATGTCTAGAGCCGGAAAACTTGTATGTAAAACTTGTTTGCGTTTGTTCATTTTTTTGACTTCGGATGTACTATTTTATTATTATTTTTGCTCTCTATATTGTTAGACTTGTAACGTTTTAAAAACTGTATTTTATGAAAATGGGACTTGGATGTATGTCTATAGCAATACGAGGTACTTTTTCTTTTAAGGAAATGAAACCCCTTTTTGGGGGAAAGAGGGGTCTAGCAGCCCCTCTGTTACGAAATGCTGGCTGTGTATTAACTGCAGTGTATTTTGATTTGTTTTCCTTTTTTTTTTAGCCTGCAGGGATTTTGTGTTTATGTGTCCAAAAAATAAAGGCCTTTCTGTGCCAAATGTTCTTTTCTTTCTTGGTGGATAATAATAAAACGCAACCTAGCCTGCCATTGAGTTTCTTTGCATGCAAGAAGAGTATCTTCTCCTTCAAATATTCTGGGTGGCACAAAGGGAAATGGTTGATATAATATTTGAATCCTGGAAGATGCGCTTATGTAGAGTTTTCTACCAGACATTTGAGGATTTGTGGGAATTTGAAGGTCTAACCATAAGGGTCATGAGCAAGATGAGTGCAGGAGCCAGTGGAAGGTGCAAAAGGAGCAGTCAAGTGATGTTCCCTTGGGATAAACAATAGGCTTGGACGGTTTCGTTCGTTAATTTCGTAATTCGTTATTAATTCGTATTTAAATTAGCTTACGATCCAATATTGAGCCATGCAGGACTACTGTGAGGAGTAATTAAAAATCGAAACAATTTTTCCAATTTATTTCGTATTGTTTCGTAATTGGTTCAAAATTGTTTCGTAATTGTTTCGTAATTATTTCCGTATGTCTGGTGCAAGTTCTATAGTTGTTGTTTGTTTTATCAATGATAAAAAATAAATTATCACACCAACAGTCAACAACAGAGGGAGAGGGAAGCTTCAGAAGTTCCCCCTGTCCCATTTGGAGGGTTTTTTAGCATATTGCGCAATCGCGTCCGCCATTAACAAATCAATTCGTAATTTTACGAAATTTTGTATATTTCGAACTTTTTAAAAGGAAAATTGCGGAATTCTTTAAAAAACGAAACGCAAGGGCCCCCCTAAAAACGAAACGAGTTTAGAACCAAATTTTTCCGTTGTTACCCAAGCCTAATAAACAACCATTTGCTAATTACACGGATAGAACTGAATTAGTAGGAAGGGAATGTCTGAATTAGGTAGGACTTCCCTCATTCTAACTATCAAAGTGAGGTCGAATTTAGGACTGCGGATACTGAAGGTCTGTGCCCGGCAAGCATTTACGCTAAAGTCCGAAATTCACGATAGAAGACCACTCCAGGTAAAAACAGCCACAGAGGCGTATTAGCAATCTGGCCAGAACTTATGCAAATATGGCTGATGCCAAAAATGTACAAGCATACATGAAATACAGAGACATGAGGTTTTATACAGCTGTCAGTTATTCAAAATAGGATACAAGGGCGGGCCAGACAGGTAAAAGAGGTGTGTTTTTCTGGGCCCAGAGCCACTCTATCTCTTCTTTCCATACCCCGGGCGCCCCAGATGCCTGCAGCTTGCTCCGCCCTTCACTTCCACCTTCCCGGTGAGGCGCCCCTTCACCTCACCATCGAGACCGCATTAAGTCCACGAATCCTGATGAATGATACTTGTACAGCGTCGTCCTTAATGCTTTCATACAGTCGCTGCATACAGCAGAGACGCAGCCACTGCCATTTTTGAACTCCCCCCCCAATATGCTCCAATCCAGATTGGAAGTTTCAGCACCCGCTCTATAAGACGACTCCTGCCATATGACTACTCCCACATATAAGATGACTCCCATGCATAAGGCTACTCCAGCGTATAAGACGACGCCAGTGTATAAGACGACCCCTGACTTTTGAGAAGATTTTCTTGGGTTAAAAAGTAGTCTTATATGCCAGAATATATGGTACCCTTGTTAGGGAAGTTCCGCACCTTATCCAAGGATATGACCCCAGATTATCTTCTTATCTCAGATTATCTGGCAGTGGAGACTCTTATAATCCAGTTTAAAGCAGATAATCTGGATTAGACCCTGGGATGGAGGGCAATGTAGATCTAGTCTACATGGCAGCATTGTCATCTTCTCTCACTTCTTCCTCTTAGGCCCCGTCAACCCTGCCACAGAATCCATTTAGAACTACAGTCAATCCAAATTCTGGAACTGGATTATATGGCAGTGCAAATGAGGATTATAGCTCCATCTGCAGTGTCCATTTCATGCAGTTTGAACTGGATTATAAGGTCAGTGCAGAGAAATATCAATGAGCCTGCACTCACCATACAATGCAGTCCAACCTGCATGAAAGGGCCAGTGTGGATGGGGCCTGAGTTGGGCGGTTTGGGTCTCCCTCCCCAAAGGAATGCAAGGAAAGCGCCTAATTAAAAAGAAAGGGGTGCATTTATTCTAAACACAGATGTTTAAAACAGTAGAGCAGATATTATAGACTTGGTTACAAAACTACAAGACTACAAAATAATGCAATGTTAAATCACAATTTACATCAGTGTTGCCCGACATGACAACCCTGGTTAAAAAGCCTATACAACAGAGACTAATTATGGCTCCATCTAATAATAGTAATAACAACAAATTCCCCCCCCCCCCCCCCCCCCCCGCTTTCCTGGCACGTCATTTCTATGCGCCAGGAGAGCCGTCTGAGGCTTGTAATGGAGAATGGGTAAGTTTTTATTACTTTTCTAAGGGGTCTGGAGGCTTGGGGGGAGAAGGGGTAGGGTCTCCAGACATTCTCATTCATTAGAGTATCACTTATGGAGACTGTACAAGAAAAGCGTGCGCTTTCTGGGATGGGCGTGAGCAGGCCCCCAAAAACATGGTGTTCTTTTTAATGCAGATGCTTCTGGGATAAAGGCCTGTATGGATCTGGCCCTGGTCACCATTAGCCTGGTGCCAGAGCTCTCCTGGCACTTAGAAATGACTCCTCCTCACTTCTGGCATGTCATTTCTATGCACAAGGAGGACACTGGCACCAGGGTAATGGTGGCCAAGTAATTTATTTTTAATTTTAAGACTTTTCTGGGTCTTTGGTGTCTAGGTGTCTTGCCCGAAGGTCCAGCAGAGCACCTAGACACCCACCCACCTCAGGAAAATCCAGGTTCTGAGGGGAAAGTGTGTGGAGTTTTACCCGAATGGGCGCGGGTTAAAGGCCTGCCTGGAACCAGCATTGCAGGAAAAGGGCAGGGGCTGCTTTTGAAGCCCTGCATCCCTCCCCTCTACATCCCATGGTCCTAGTCTCTGATCCGAGGAGCAGGGAGCAAACGAGAGATGCGGAGACAAAAGACATTTATATTGTATAAAAACATTGTCAGAAGTACAATCCGGAAGCACGCTGAGTTGCTGAAATTAGTGTGTCACTTATGGAGACTGTACAAGAAAGGTACCTAGAACTAAACATTATGCACTAGAGGATGAAATTCTAACATGGGAACTAAATACATACAAATACTACAATTATTCATTAAATTCATTGTCTTTTTTATCTTCTCTTGGTCCTTGTAGGCTCCGGTCGGAGAAGGATGGAAGTTTCCTGAACTTCACTCTCGGTGCTTTGCTGCTCTTCCCTTTTCACCCAGCATCCGAACCTCTCTCTCGGTGAAGGCTAGAATCAGGATAGACAGATGGGGCTGCCATGTTGAGACCCAGGGAATTCTCCTCCTCCTGACCCTTCCAGTTCCTATGGGTAAGGCCTCTGCTGCTGCCACCTCCAGGCTGAGAGAAGAGGGAAAGCCAAGCCTGATCCCTAGAGAGAGGGACATTGGAAGCTAAGGCTTGCATCATGGAAGAGGGCCTTTGTGGGGCCCTAGCTTTCCTACCACAGCAGGGGCCCTACCTGGCCGATAGGCCCAGAAATTCCAGGAAGATGTTGATGTTGTGGGAACGGAGCCCCCAGAGGATGTCGAGAAAGTCCTGGAGGCTCATTGTTTGCGAAGACAACAGGTGGGACATGTCCAAGTTTTAAACTGTTCTCCTGCAATGGAATATTAACAAGAAGCCTTGGTCGGAGCAGGGTGATAGCTCTAGAAGGCTGCTAAGATGATGGATGGCTGGATTGGGATGTTGAAACCAGACCATCAGCGGTGTCCGAGCCTCTAGGGAGTCCGGGCGCTGGCCGATGTGCAGCAGCTGAAAAAGAAGAGACGTGTGAAGGGCTGGAGCCAAGAAGGAAGTAGATGTAGTATATGTAGCCTCAGGAAAACAGCCAGGTTCTGCTCATTCTCAGTGGAGGCTCATGCCAGCTGGATCTAGAAAAATCATCCAATGCATCAATAAAGAAATAAAAGCCAGTGCCTCGCACCACCCAGGAATAATGGGTGCAGTTGCTGTGTACCTGGACCACTTCACCCTCATAAGGCCCAAAGATGCAGCCCCTAGGCAGGCCTGGGAGAGTGCTCCAGGCGCCAAAGCCTCCTTGGAGACGCTCCTTGATAACAAGTCCCACGACGGAGTCCTTTCTGGAACAGGGGAGTCGGCCACAAAAGTAGGGGGACCGTGTTGTAGGCAGGACTCTTGGAAACAAAGGCAGCACTCTTCACAAAAGGCAGCTCATCTTATAAATGGATGCAGGCGTCCTCAGCTACTTGCATGGTTTGCATTGGGAGCCTGAAGTGCCGGGAAGGCCAGACAGGACTCCTGGGTGGGGTCCAGAGTGGGCCAGGAGCGGCGAGGGGGTGTCACTGTGTCCTCAGGCGGATGGCAGACAGGAAGCAGCCCTCGGGGTCCCTGATGAAGAGGGCATCCTGGCGAGGAGGGGCCTACAGGATGGGCAGGGGCAAGGCAGGCAGCGGCCCCTCCGCCTCCCTCCTTGCCAAGAGGGGCCAGAGTGCTCCCTGCTTCCGCAACCGAGGCTGCCTCCATCCCTGGGGTCGTGTGAGGGAACCCAGCCAGAGAGACTAAGCTGGACCTTGTCCCTGAACCTCCTCTGGTCCTTGGCTCCTTACAACAACTTGAGGGCCATTCCCTCAGGGCATATTGTGGGATCTTCTAGCATCTTCTCGGAGGTTTGGTTGAAGCAGGCCACCCTCTTCACCAGCATCAGCATAATCTTTGCCAGTTCTCTTCAGAAACATGAAAGAAAAAGGCTTACTTCTCAGAGGAAGGTTTGAGAACCTCTGGCCTCTCCAAAAGGGCTGGGAGCCCCGCTGACCCTTCCTCTCACCCTCTCCTTTCTCTGGATTAACGTAGCTGCTGCTCCAGTTCCTGCTGGGTGCTTTCAACCCTTGTGACCTCGATGAAGTTGGTCAGCAAGGCTAGCAGAAGCTCCAGGAACCACACCTCCAGGCGAGTGCTGGCCCT